CACACACACACACACACACACACACACACACACACCACACACAAACGCGCGCACACACACAAACAGGCGCACACCCACACACATCCTCGCAATAGCGCAAACACGTACACAACTCTTGACTGTACGTGTGCCTCAAGCATCACAACCCGCTCACCCTCTCAGCTCCGCGTCTCGCCCTTACAAACACAACGTCTACACTACCACTACTCTGCCTCTCCGTCTCTCTCCCGCGCTTGTATAATCGATTCCATCAATCCAACCTTCTGACGCATGTCCTCCTCGGGGGCACGTCCTTTTCACAGACACAAGAAACGCAACTTACTGTAACAACACATACGCCAGCCATCGGGATATCTCCATAGTCGCAGTGGACGACACGTGTCCTCCACAGAAGACCAAGTTCAATAGACCACAGTAGAGTCGGCTCTCTCCTGCTGCTGCTCTGCTGCGGGGCGCAAGACAGACAGACCACAGCGAGAGAGACGAGAGAGCGAGAGAGCCAACTTTCCCTGTCGCTCTGCTGCCGGAGGGAGAATCACAGCGCAGATGACGACTTCGTAGCAGGGACCAACAAGGACGGTACGAGTCGCCGCATCACCAAGGACGGGCGCATTCGCTCTCCCCGGGATCTCCCCCCTCCACCCAATCACCCATCTTAACCCCCCACGCATGTCTCCCCTGAATCTCTCCCGTTTCAGACAATCACCCGTCTTAAACCCCCCACGCATCTCCATCGTCCTCTCTCCTCACTACTCGCAGCACACACCCACCTACCCTCGGGGACTGTACTAGTCGTCGCATCACCATCGACGGGCGCATGCTCTCTCCCCTCGATCCCTCCCCTCCAGCCCGTCACCCCCCTCTGCAACCCCGTTTATCTCCATCGTCCTCTCTCCTCGCTCTCTCCTCCCAACACACCCCACCTACCCCTCTCCCGATGTCACAACCCCCATCGGTAAACATCACCACCAAATGCACCTTTTGTCGAACACACTGTAAAATGTACTTACCATCCGCCGATTACGACCCAATATGGCCCGACGATAGAAGAGCTAAAGCACACTTCCCCACCAACACAAAAGAAGACGATTTGCTGTAAACGAGCATGCACACAACCATTTTTGCTCCGACCCCTCACTGCTGCCGACCACACCATCAGCATCAGCCACTGCTTGTACCGACTTTGTCCTCCTCTCGTCAAAATCCAACACCCTCGTTGCGACAGAGAGAAGAAGGAAGCTAACCAGCTCCATTAGCCTCCTCCTCACCCTCTTCCTCCTTGTCCTTTCTTCATCGCGTGGCATCCACAACATTCGATCTCCTTCCTTCTTACTCCTCCTCCTTCGCTTCCTTCCTCTCCCTCCCTCCCAGCATCAGTCTCTCAACCCCTGGCTCCTACTTACCTTCGGGGGTATACGCCTTCCTTCCTTAATTAATGTTGAGTCGCACGCCCGTCGCTCAGCGTCGCGCAAAGCCTCTTCCCCCAAGACGGTATTCCCCCCCTTAATCTCCCCTCCCCGACTCCCTATCCGCCCCGGCCCCCGCCCCCGCCCCCGCCCCCGCCCTTTCGTATTAGGCATCTCTCCTTATTGCAACCCTAAATATACTTCCCCCTCTCCTCCCGTCCCCCCTCTCCTCCTGTCCCCTCTCCTTCCCTCCCCTCCCTCCCGTCTATCACAAAGCCCGACTTCAACACTCTGCACATCGCCTTCACAACAACAATCATTCACTCATCTTTATAATCAATCCTTTCCATCCACAACACCAAAACCTCTTCCGTTCTTGTTCCTCCCACTTCTCCATCCGGTCCCAACGCTCCGCCCTCACATCGCTTGTATGCATCCCAAAGGGTCTTTATTTCATCACATCAACTCAAATCCTCAACCCATATGTTCTCAATGCCCCTGTGATTTCGTACATAACCAATCACTACACGCTCCCATGAAGACATCGCATGCGGGACAGGGAAGGCATTTACCATAGTTTGAGTCGATTGGCTTATAGATGGACAGCACGTCAACCAATTTGTAACCAACACGTCAACCAATTTGTAAACCAATTTGTAACCAACACGTCAACCAATTTGTAACCATTGATTGGTTCTTCCCCCCCGGGGGAAGAGGAAATCTCTCCCCCCCCCCTCCCTTCCTCCCCCCTTCACCCCGCCGATTCTCCCGCCCTGTGGAACTAGGTGAGGAGACACTCGCTGCTGCCGCCATAAGATCAGCGCTCCGTTCAAGCGGAGCAGTCGTTGAGAGTTGACATCTCTCCTCCTCCTCTCCTCCTCTTCCTCCTAATCCCACCTGTCGTCCCGTTTCTGCTCTATTTACTCGGTTTGCGGGAGCACCTTTCTCCGTTTCTGGTGCGCATCAATCCATTCTAATCAACTGTGAATCGTTAACCACTCAACGTATCCATAATCCGCGGCCCTGCCACCGCCCCACGAAGAAGCACAGCACCTCAACCCCGTGGTCGATTGATTAGTTCGGGACAATCAAACTCCCTCCACAGAGTCCGGCCTATACCCTCCCCTCCATTGGCAACCTCTCTCTCTCTCTCTCTCTCTCTCTGTGTGTACGTCAGAGCTTAATCCCGAAGACGCAGCGGCGGTAACAGGAGCGACAACTCTGGCGCTAGTCGAAGTTTGAGAAGTATTCCCCTTCCCGCCCTCCTCTCCAACTGCTCCATCCTCCTCCTGCTCCTCCTCCCCCTCCCCCTCCCCCTCCCCCTTCGTCTGTCGTTCCGAGTTACTTCTCCCCGTCGATGACTTTGTCGACTGCAGAAGCATCGGTGGTACTGCATCGGCCTTATACCTCAGACTTTTCCCGTAAAACGTTGAATACGAATTGTCCCATACCAATCTGTACGACCCCGATCCCGTCGTGTAGAAATGCCCCTGGTGCGCTTCATACCGCTGATATGGCAAGATGGGCATCTTCATCCCACTCACCATATCCACAAACTCCACGGTGAACCCCAAATCCTTCCCCGCGTCTGTTCTGAACTCCCAAGCCACCATCGACCCCTCCGCTTCCACTACAAGATCCACCTTGAAGTTGTCTCCCCTCGCGATGACGACCGTCTTGAATTCTTCCACCGGCGCAGCGCCCTGCACTTCAATCGCTTCTTCTGCTGATATCAGGAAGGGGGATTTGTCGAAGACCTCCCCGATGAAGTGAAGAAACCTTTTCAATTCCGCGGAATAGATGGTCGCGGAGGCTGTGAGCAGCTCTAGGCTCTCCGCCGTCCTTCCGCTGGCCTCCGCGTCCTCGAATGTCTTCCACCATAGCGACAAAAACACGAAAATCTGATTCAGGAAAGCCGTGAGCTCGTACAGAGGCGGGCCGTATCTGTCCCTCTGCTCCTCCATAGGCCCATTGTGGTCGTTGATCTGGCGGACGAAATCCAGCAGCACTTGCGGCACCCCTCCCAGGTACTTCACCAACGCCTTGAACACACCGGTCGCCGACCCCAGCTGCGCCAGCGTTCGCCTCCTGTCCATCTGCTGGTTCCACAGCAGCTGGTACCTCTCGCGGATGCTCGCGCCACTGGCAATCAACGCCTCCACCTCCGCCTCGCGCCTCCGTTCCGATCGCTCTCGTTGCTGACGAATCAGCGTGCCGCGGAAATCCTTCGGCAGGTAAGTAAACACCATATCGGCGATCTTCCTCTGACTTGCAGCTTGAAAAGAGATGATATTATTCAGACTGCAGAGCATGACGTCCTTCATCCTCTCTCTTTCCTGGGCCAGCTTTGTCGACGTCACCGACTCTTGCCCGCTGTCCCGCAGCGCACACGGCAAGTTCTTTGCATCCAGAAGGTTCACAATTTCCTCTATCTGCTCCCTTTGCCGCCATAGGTTCTCGTCAATCTTCCGTGGAGGACGAATCAGCAACTTCTGCACGAGATGGTCGTCCTCCCCCGCTATTCTACGTCTCAAAGCGTCGTACCGGTCGCACATTACATGCAACCGGTCGCGCAGACGTCCCACCTCCGCGCTGATTGGCTCAAACGGATACCGGTCGTAGAACTTCGCTAAATACCCCCTCGTGATTGGCACGAGCCCCGCCGTTGACGCCGCCATTTGCCTCTCTCTCTCTCTCTCTCTCTCTCTCTCTCTCTCTCTCTCTCTCTCTCTCTCTCTCTCTCTTTTCCGCACGTCTCTATGTATGTTTTGCGCGTGCGCAAGTTGGGTTTAGCATCTCCCCGACTACTCTTGGTTGGCGCACCGGTCAAGCAAGCGGAAGTCACAATCAATAAGGTAACTTCCACATAGACACCCACGGACCGCCGGGGTGAAAATCACTGCCACACACACACCCACCCACCCACGGATAGCGCAGGGGTGAAAATCACTGCCACACACACCCCCACCCACGGATAGCGACAGGGGTGTGGCAAAATCGCCCAACTGGTCACACCAGCTTCAGAGATAGCGACCAATTCCGGCGGACGCTGATAAACGCTTCGTTTCTCCCCCGCCGTACTTCTTCCCCTCACCCCTTCTCGTCAATCTTTATTCCTGAGTCGTCTTGACGACCATGATTCCAGCACCCAGATATGAACCCCCCCCTAGCACCCAGATATGAACCCCCCCCGACATCCGTCCGACGTAGGGCCTGGCCAGTGTCGCCACACGCAGCAATCTCTCTGGCTATCTTCGTGTTTCCAGTTCTTCTATCACCCAATCAATTCCTCATCGACCGAGGAACGAAGCAGGCGAGTTACCTCCTTCTCCTCCTCCTCCTCCTCGTGGCCCGCTCCCCTATCACCCAATCAATTCCTCATTTTGTAATCAATCAATTCATTCAACCAGTTAACAACCAGTTCCGCGACCGAGGAACGAAGCAGGCGAGTTACCTCCTTCTCCTCCTCCTCCTCCTCCTCCTCGTGGCCCGCTCCTCGTGGCCCGCTCCATGTAAATGAAATAAATATGAAAGGCGACGATGGGTCCAGATACGCAGTAAGTAACAGCGGAGAAGAGTGTCAAATGCAGATAGTTCTGAGATTCCGTCGGTGCCGTATGTGTCGCGTGCAGCTTGTGGCCTCGGTCCCACGACGTGTTGCAAACTGAGGGAGTTAATCAATCAGCTTCAGTTCACCTCGTGCTCCCTTTTACCCTCAGTAGCAGCAGGACCGCAGACGCGATGGATGGGTAAATAATAACCTTAGTGAATAGTTTCCAGCCTCATGCAGCGAATTACACTTACACGTCCAATCAGGCTACGCCGAATGTACGGCACACAAAGTTTATTAGAGGCCTCCTCCTACTAACTACTACGGTAGTCCAAATCCAAATAGGACTACGAGTCAGGGAAGGTAGGCTGTGGATTCGCTACGTCGAGGGCTGCACTGCAATGGTGTAGCCTGGCTATGCTGTGCTGTGAAAGTCTACTACACACTGACCGAGCAGAGGCCAAGTAGATATCAGTCGCCGTCAGACGGGATCAGACCATCGGAATGAAAACGACTGAGAGGAGAAACAGCCCACAGCCAGGTGGCAGGCAGAATTCCGCGAGCGTTTCCAACCCACGGAGGTTGGAGGACCGAGCACAAGTGAACGTGCCGTGACACGTGTCGCCAGAGACGGACGTGCCTTGGCCGGTCCACGCTTACGCGCGCTCGCGCCCGAGGGGCGCAGCCGCTAATTCCCCAACCCCCCACTCTTCCGTACGGAGGGAATGCGTTTTGCGATGTGCGCGACGCTGTGGGTGCTGATGAGCATGTTCACGCGACAGCCTTTTCGAGCCGCCGGGCACGGCCCAGCCCACTGGTGCTATGTTCGTACTTTGGAAACCACGAACCTGATCTCAAAACTGACCAGGTCCGGTCGCGTTTTCTTACCACAAACACGCCAGGGCGTGCCTTCTGAACGCGTGTAAATATGCTCCTCGCGCCTTTTCCTAGCGGGTCCTGCTCAGTACCCTCGCGACTTTTCCTTTCGGGTCCTCCACTGCCGCTGCCGATCTCGCGTGAGGGCGCAGACAAGTCCCTAGCCATAGTGGAATCTGGGTCCTCCACTGCCGCTAGTGACTCGCTTGAGGGCGCAGGCCCGTTCCCAGCTGTCGTGGAAGCTGTGCAGCAGGTATGGGGATAAGGTCATACCGCATACCAGAACTAACAGGTTTGAGAATTGTCTACCACAGGAACGCAGCCCTAAGGAGTGATGGTGTTGCTTTGACGAGAGAGGGGGAGAGAGAGAGAGAGAGAGGAACGCAGACAGTTGACTAAGACAAGGATAGTTTAATGCGCCAGCGTGAGAGAGACAGGGACAGAGACAGAGCGAAAGAATGAACTTTTACCTTACACCATACTCCATCACTCTCCCTCCCCCTCTCTGGGGCTCGCCACACCAGGTGTAGAAGGTGCGTCTTTCGAAAGTTCAACTCCCTACACACACTACTGTTAAACAGCTGGCTGTAGAGCATGCTTCGACACCTGTCGAATAGCTCCTATAGTAGCCTGCCCGTCACAACTTGTTTTCCAAAAGGACTTGAGTGGGCTATTGAAAAACGGGGAGACGGGGTTGTTTGCAGCCCGTAAGGGTTGGGTTTTATGCCCTTGATACCTTCAAAGTCAATTCGACTTTCAACGTCAGTGACCGTTCGCGTAAGGGTTGGGTTTGCAGCCCATCAGGGGTGCGTTTCATGCCCTAGGAACATTGCGTTTTTTATGCCCTGGGAACATTTTTTGTCGTCGTCACCAAACGGTGCGGTAGTTCGCAGCCCGTCAGGGTTGCGTTTTCCCCCTTGAGACATTTTCGTCGTCGTTCGTTACACCGGTCGTTCATTCGGGCCCATTGGTCGTTCGAAGGCTGATAAAATGAAAGGCACTGGCATTTAGGGGGGGGGTGCAGTTCAAGCAAATGCAGGACCGGTATTTGCCCGTGGCATTTTCCTGGGAACTGGTAGGTGGCCGTGGTCTAAAATATTTTGAAACGGCGTGGGGGTCGCAGGTCCTTGAAATTTAAATATGAAATGGCGTGGACCCAGGCCTACAGCCTCATTCCCAGCCCAGCCACTTCGGCCCAATCGGCCTAGTCACTATTCTAGATGATTTTGTCTGAATCTCGAAGCAGTTCTGAGCCAGATTCAGAAACAGAGATGTTCTCTCTCTCTCTCTCTCTCTCTCTCTCTCTCTCTCTCTCTCTCTCTCTCTCTCTCTCTCTCNTACTCCATCACTCTCCCTCCCCCTCTCTGGGGCTCGCCACACCAGGTGTAGAAGGTGCGTCTTTCGAAAGTTCAACTCCCTACACACACTACTGTCGAACAGCTGGCTGTAGAGCATGCTTCGACACCTGTCGAATAGCTCCTATTGTCTACCGCGTGGGCGCGGGAAACGCAGCCCTAAGGTAGCCAAATCAATGAGAYTAAGAGCTAACACAAAAGAGAGAGAGAGAGAGAGAGAGAGAGAGAGAGAGAGAGAGAGAGAGAGAGAGAGAGAGAAAAAGTTTTGTTTCATTTATTGTTATGAGTGTGAGAGAGAGAAAGAAAGAGAGAGAGAGAGAGAGAGAGAGAGAGAGAGAGAGGGAGAGAGGGAGGCTGAATGGAAAAATTGAAATATGGGTCAAATTGCGGCCGCAATCTATTTCGCAGTTGGAATTATTTTTTAAAATTTACGTAGCGTTTTTCCTTGAAAGATCACAACAAAATCTAAGAGTACTCAAATTTTCAGGTTTTTTCACACATTTTTCTGAGCGCGAAAACGCACTGAATTTGGAGTACTTTTTTAGTTGGCCCAAGCATGGCTGAGGGGCAAAAATGGAAAATGTGCTGAATCGGCGCGATGATTATTTCGCAGTCTAAATGATTTTTTGTAAATGTTCTATTATTATTTCTAGAAAGAACACGACCTCATCTATGGATTCTCAAAATTTCAGATTTTTGTGCATGTTCGTCTGAGCACAGAAAATCGTCAAAGTTCCCTCTTGCAAAACGCCTGTTTCGTTGTGCCTGACCTCCCTGTTTTGAGAAGACGGGGCTCAACGCCTGGGCCTGAGGGCCCTTTTGCAGTTCACATGCCCTCACTTCTTTTTGGGGTCCGCTTCTACCTGAGGACATGTCCAATGCCCCCCACTTCTTTTTGAGGTACACTTCTACCCGAGGACCGGTCCTTCGTTTTTCCAAAAGTCCCGGTTCTACCAGAGCTAGCTATAGGTAGTCCGCAATTTTGGCAAGGACCGGTCCCCCAAATTTCTTTGCCCCCTAAGAACCCACTTTGCGTCCTGGTCGCCCGCGGCCAAAAATGCGTCACCTTAACGCAGACGCAGAAACCCACTATACCGCAGCCTAAGGGCTGCGAATGCGAATATGAAACCTTGTATGTGTCCTGGTCGTCTGCGGAATAGTAGTGGGATGAAGGTTGACCCTGGGAATAGGGCTGCTATCTTGTTTCTGCTTTCTTTCCTGTGTGAACGGTTCTTCAACAGAATAACGGCTTGTGGAGAGCCAATAGCCAGGAAATCACAACGCCTGAACTGTTGATTACTGATGTGAGAGCTCGATCCGCCTCAACTATTAATCACCGACACAAGAGCTCAATCCGACATTGGGTCTCGCTCCACTATACTAGACTCACGAAAAAATTTGTGACTGCTTTTAGATTTGTCAGAGGTCTATAACTTTTGGAAAAATAAGCATCGCTCGAATTACTCCAGACTCAAGAACTATAGAAGCACTCACAAATTTCTCAGTACTATATAACAATCCTTCTACAGCGCTAGATGCCAGCACCAACTCATTCTGGTGGTCGGGGCAGGAGGCACACTCTCGAAAAAAAAATGGCGGAGGGGGGGTAGGAGGGAGGACGCTTGAAAACCAGGGCGTTGTAGGCTATGAACTCTATACAAATCGAGAATGCCCTTCGAGAGCGCTTAATGATAGCTCTCGAAGGGTGGTGTCATGAGTTACAGTCTAGAGTAAGTGGAGCGAGGCCCATTATGCCCCCTAAGGGAGCTATCGGAGGTTGCAGTACTGAACGGACCTAGACAACTTGACCAGTTCAATTGTATACCGTGTGGGCACGGGGAACGCAACCCTAAGGTAGCGGAAGCAATTATATTGTGGTCTTATAAGAGAGAGAGAGAGAGAGAGAGAGAGAGAGAGAGAGAGAGAGAGAGAGAGAGAGAGAGAGTATTTTACTCTTCAGTTCCAGTGCATCACACACACAACAAACCGAAAGTTCTGAATTTTTTAAGGTCATTACTTGTAAGATATGTAATATTTTTCTTTTGATTTTTTCGTAATGAATATTTTTAAATGCTTCATAATTTTTAGATTTTTAAAAAGTTTGTATTCTTGTCATTGTCTTTAATTTTTTATGTTTTATTATTGTTGTATTTTTTTTATTATTTAGGTGAAATAATTATTTTGTGGTCTTACAAGAGAGAGAGAGAGATAGAGGGACAAAGAGAGAGAGAGAGAGAGAGATACAAAGAGAGAGAGAGAGAGAGAGAGAGAGAGAGAGAGAGAGAGAGAGAGAGAGAGAGAGAGAGAGAGAG